ACAAATCAAAATGTAGATGCGTTGTCACCCGTGAGGACTAAGATGGAGTGCCTCATTTCCAGTAAAAAGGGCCTCCGGCCACCTGCACTCACCAAGCGAAACGCAGAGGTAAACCTCTACTTCACGCTGGTTTTCTGTGAGGTCGTGGTACCACCCCGGTTCGAGCCGGCCCATCCGTGCGACAGCAAAAGCTGCCGCGTGGCTCTACCACTGTTAATTATCAAACGGATAATTTCCAGAATATTACCGTCATCTATAATCTTTCAGCACCGAATTAGCATTTAATTTTTAGGCACTGATAAAGAACAAAAAATACCGTTCATACATTTTAGGAAGGCAATGGTGGTCGTGGACTTCATAATTCCCAGAATAATAACTTAATCTGTATCGGGTCTCGATAATCGCTCAGCACTTAATTAGCACTTAATTCCTTGCTATTAATATTTATCGTATATCTAATAAATTCATTGCGTTGCCAGCGATACGTTTTGCCAGCAACGCAAATTTCAATGGTTCGTTGCGGTGAAAATGTTGGAGCAACTAATTTTTAAACTTGGTACTTAATTAGCACCTAAAAAGCCCCTAATTTGGACTTTTTCTGAAAGGAATTTTGATTATATTTTGATTTTCAGGAAATTTGCATTTTGCATCTGCTATGTTCTGAATAACGACTTTATTTTTATTAGGGGCACCTTGTTATTCCGTATAATTGCAGCACCTAATTAGCACTTAATTCCTTGCTATTGATATTTATCGTATATCTAATAACTTCATTGCGTTGCTAGCGAGACGTTTTGCTAGCAACGCAAATTTTAACATTTCGTTGCGGTGAAAATTTTAGAGCACCTAATTTTTAAACTTGGCACCTAATTAGCACCTAAAAAGCCCCTAATTTTGGATTTTTCCAAATGCAAATTCCCGACTTTGCGTTGCTGGCGATACACAACTCTAATATAGCTGCAGCATGGCTCTACCACGTATAAATCAGAAAACAATGTGACAACTGCAATAAAATATTTATCTTTGGCACACAACAATGCATTTGGCATCTTTTGTTTTAATACGCTCAAGAGCAAATACGGCTTATGGAAAATATACCATTTATTTGAAAACAAAACCACATGCACTCACGCCCGATGTGCTAAAAATATCCAAAATACACAGGTAGACTCAAACGATAAAATTATAGTGGGAATGGGAGAAAATAATTACGACCTGAAAAAACTATACTACTCTTATAATACTCTTATACCAGGAAAAGCCAACACTTATCTGCATGATTTATGTCATAATTACTGTCTAAAATTCATATTAATGTTCCAACTAGAAAGGAGACATGTATAGACCATATTCTAAGTAATATAGAGAATGCTTCAGCTACAGTATTGCCTTTGTTTCTATCAGACCATGATACAGCGCAGTTACTAATTTTTCGGGTTCCACAAAATAACTCAATGAACAAAACATGTTTTAAATACAAAAGAGATTATAATTTAAGTAATATTCGAAAATTCAAGGAATGTCTAAATAATCTATCATGGTGTGTGTTACAGCAAAGACTGGTCTCTTGGAATATATGTTTTTTGTTGTGCAATCGATCAAAATGGGCGAGCCTTGACAAGGCTCTTCATATTTATAGTCTCATACAGCGCCCTCAGCGGTATTACAATGGAACTAATTGCTTAGGTTCTATAACTAACACATTCTGTGATCGATACAAATGGTTAGGTTACTTCCTAGTTACAGTACGGGCGATCTAGATGTCGCTATTTTGTTGTACATGGTATGAGATAGATGGCGCTGTCTTATCTGAACAGTGTGAAACATATTTTGACATATTTTGTTTATTCTATAATCTATTTTTCATAAGAATAAAAATACTAATTAAAAAAAGTAATCAAAATAATTGGATTAGTAAAGGTTTGAAAAAAAAAACAAAAAGAGCACTGCGGTATCAATATTATAAAAATAAAACTATATTAAATAAGAATAATTATAAAAAAATATTCTCATTTAAGTATTAAAAAAATGTCCAATCAAAGAAAAATTGTAATATATTGTTACGCGCCACTATTAATGTCTTGTACATGGCAACACTAGTTACACTAGCGCCCCCTAGTGTCGAGTAAATGAAAGTATTGCGCGCCACTATTAATGTCTTGTACATGGCAACACTAGTCACACTAGCGCCCTCTAGTGTCGAGTAGCAGAACTAGGAGAGTCGAGATCCTTCCAGAAATTTCGGGACCGATATGTACTCGAACATTCTAGATGTCGCTACAGTAGAAGGTTCTGGAAACTATCTGAGGCCCTATATAAGACCGGTATAGACCACGACCGGGGCAGTATTGAATTGGCGATACAAGAGAATACTTCGAAGCGAAATAACGGCGAACTGTGTTTTATTATTAGTGTGATTTTTGATTGTAATTAGTGTTGTGTAATTAAAGTGTCAATTTTGGTAATTCAGTCGGCAGTTTTTAATTGTCTCGAACCCCAAGCTCGTAACAATTGGTGTCAGAAGTGGGATCAAATATGCCGATTTTACCTAAAGACGACACGGAGGGTATCCGTACCCGAAGTCAACGCCAACAGGAGACGGACCAGAGACGATTTGGTAATGCAACGCCCCAAACGTCGGAGGGCCAGTTGCTAACCACGGAGGCTGGCCCGTCAGCAGCTCCTGCATCTGCAGCACCTGACTTGGGTGCTCTGATGATGATGCTGCAGGATCAGGCTCGCCGACAGGAGGAACAGGCCCGCCGACAGGAGGAACAGGCCCGCCGACAGGAGGAACAGACCCGTCGGCTGGAAGAGCAGCTGCAGCGCGGTATGGAAGAACAGATGCTCCTCAGGAAGGACCTTCACGCTACCTTCGGGAAAGAGATAAAGGAGGTGAAGGATAGGGTTGCTCAACATGACAACCGCCTGTCGGAAGCTGAAACTCGAATCGACCAAGTGAACAATCGGGTTGACAACGTGATGGCTGATGTGAAGAAAACGCTGGACGACCTCAAACTTGGGGATGGAATCACAGCTCCCGTGGTAGCTACAACACCTTCGCTACGTGGATTCAAAGTGCCGCCGTTCGACGGGAGTTCTTCCTGGTCGGCCTACAAAATCCAGTTCGAGGCTGTCATGAAAGCGAACGGCTGGAATAAAAGTCAGGCCATGACTGCTCTCACCCTAGGCCTACGCGACCAGGCCTTAACTGTTTTGGAAGCGCTCGGTAAGGAAGTGACTTACGAGCAGCTCCTTGAGGCATTGGAGGCGAGATATGGCGATGCTCACCTGGAACACGTCTTTCGTGCGCAGCTCAAAGATCGCGTGCAACGCAGTAACGAAAACCTGCAGCAGTGGGCCCTTGAGGTGGAGAAGCTGGTTCGAAAAGCGTACCAGTCTGTACCTGTGCTCATTGTAGGGAACCTGGTGCAGACTTTCATCGACGGCATCCGCGACCTTGAAGTCAGAGCTGCTGTGAGGCTCGGGCACCACCAGACGCTTAAGGACGCCCTGACCCATGCACTGGAGGTGGAAGCCGTGCGGCAGGATCATCGTTCCCACCGCGTCAGGGAGGTTGCAGCAGCTACAGTTCAGGACCGCAATAAGGGCTATAACCCTAGGTGCTACGGCTGTGGGGAAAGGGGCCATCTTCGATCCAGCTGCCCTAAACGAACTGTAGAAAGGGAAGGTGATCGATCTCGAGAGGGTAGTGCGGATAATAGCACCGCCCAGCAGCAGCAGGGAAACGAGTAAAAACCAGGACTGCGGGGCGGGTACTGGCTGATGTTAAAAGAGCCCCAAGGATTTCGATCTCACAAACCCATGATGGGAACAGCCTAATCATCAAGGGCGAAGTCAACGGAACGCCGTGTAAACTGACCATAGACACTGGAGCCTCTCGCACGGTTGTCAGTTCCCAACTTATAAGTCGGTTCCTTGGGGACTCCGCATACAACCGAGAACGCATTAATTTGGTGACAGCCACCGGTCAGCGCATACCCGTCCGTGGAGAGAAGGAGATGGAGTTGAAGCTAGGCAACATGATCTACCTGCATAATGTCATCGTGGCTGATATAATGGACGACTGCATCCTGGGCCTAGACTTTATGAGGAAGAATTGTTGTGAGATCGACGTTAAGCAAGTTTGACTGGCCTGTTGGTCTAGTGGTTAGTGACCCTGACTACTATGCCGGAGGTCGTGGGTTCGATTCCCACCCAGGACAAATGTTTGTGTGATGAGCACGATCATTTGTTCTGTGTCTGGGTGTAATTTATCTATAATATTTATGTATTTAGAAATATATAAGTATGTTTATCAGTTGTCTAGTACCCATAACACAAGCTCTGCTTAGCTTGGGACTAGATGGCGTTGTGTGATAGTTGTGGAATATTATATTATTATTATTAAGCAAGGTGTTTTGAAATGTGGACAAGAAGAACTTTTCGTGGAAGGGGCGTTACCAGGGAATGTGTACAGCCTTAAGAAGATTGTTCTTCCGCCGAGATCGGAAACGATTGTGCCGGTTAGTCTTCCTCGGAGTCCTGGGCAAGCCCATCGTTGTGTACTCGTGGAAAGGGTAGACAATGACCTTCCATGGAAAGTGGCTCGAACCTTGGTCAGAACCACCGACATCTCAGGAGTACGTGTGTTGAACCTTTGTGATCAGGAACAGATTATAGAAAAAGGCACATTGGTTGGTACTAGTGAGGAAGTGGATTGGTTGCGTCGATGCGAATATCTATCGACCGGGACCCCCAGCAAGGATGGACAAACGATAGTGACCACACTTTTGGAAGACTGTCGCAGCGTTCTTTCCCCGAATGAAATGGTCAAGGCGAAGAAGTTGTTACTCAAGTACGCCAATGTTTTCTCGTCAAACGAAGCTGACATAGAAAAGACTGGCTTAGTTCAACACAAAATAAACACAGGACAAGAATTGCCTATTCGTCAGCGGCCAAGAAGATTGCCTGTAGCACGTGAAAAAGAAGTGGAAACCATGATTGAGGGAATGGTGAAGGATGGTGTTATTGAACCTTCATCTAGTCCATGGTGTTCACCTGTGGTGCTGGTAAAGAAGAAGGACGGCAGCATGCGGTTTTGTGTTGACTATCGCCGCCTGAACGACATTACAAAGAAGGACAGCTATCCCTTGCCAAGAATTGATGACACGCTGGATATGCTTACAGGCGTAAAGTGGTTTAGTACGCTAGATCTGAAAAGTGGCTACTGGCAGGTTGAAATTGACCCTAAGGACAAGGAGAAAACTGCATTCTCCACAGGAAAGGGTCTGTGGCAATTCAAAGTCATGCCGTTTGGATTGTGCAATGCTCCAGCAACGTTTGAAAGGTTGATGGAGCTTGTACTTACCGGGCTAATTGGAGATGCTTGTCTGGTCTATTTGGATGACATCATCATCGTAGGCCGTACGTTTGAGGAAAACCTTCAAAACCTGGAACGCGTGCTCATGAAGATCCAGAGTGCCAACCTCAAGTTGAGTCCAAAGAAGTGCTCACTATTCAAACGGCAAGTTAGTTTTTTGGGATATGTAGTGTCGGAAGAAGGTATCCGCACGGATCCAGAGAAAATTGCTGCTGTCAAGGAGTGGCCGGTCCCAAAAGACAAGACACAGGTTAGAGCATTTTTGGATTTGTGCTCTTATTATCGGCGATTTGTGAAGAACTTTGCAGATATAGCCAAACCTCTGCACAAGCTAACCGAGGAGAAGCGACAATTCTGCTGGGATGAAAGTTGCGATATTGCATTCCAGGAGCTCAAGAACCGCCTGTGCAAAACACCTATTTTGGGGTACCCTGATGCGGGCAAGGAATTCATAGTTGACACAGACGCAAGTGATATAGGACTTGGCGGTGTGTTGTCTCAACGGAATGGTGATCAAGAGATTGTGATAGCGTACTTCAGCAAGTCGTTGTCAAAGCCGGAAAGGAACTATTGTGTCACAAGACGGGAATTGCTTGCTGTGGTAAAGTCCTTGCAGCATTTTAGCAAATATCTTCTAGGGCGGAAATTCCACTTACGAACTGACCATGCTGCACTGAAATGGCTATTGCAGTTCAAAAATCCGGAAGGACAAGTTGCGAGATGGATAGAACTACTGCAGGAATACGACTTTGTGATCGAACATCGCAGCGGGAAATCTCATGGCAATGCATTGTCAAGAAGACCTTGCCCTGAAGATTGCAAGCATTGTACTAGGCAAGAGGGTAAGGAAGTGGTATCTGTGAGAATGCTCAGGACAGACCAACTCAGCAATGAGTGGAAGGACAGCCTACAACATGCACAGCAGGAAGATTCGGACATTAAGCCGATTCTGGAATGGATGAAGGCCAGTGCTCCTAAGCCCAAGTGGAGCGACGTCTCAGCAATGAGTTCGACCACGAAAAGCTATTGGGCCCAATGGGACAGCTTGCTGATTCAGGATGGAGTCCTGTGCCGTAAATGGGAAAATGGTCGGGGAGACAGGTGTCATTTGCAAATGGTTGTCCCTAAGGCTAAAGTGCCGGATATTCTACAGCTGTACCATAGTGGTTGTTCAGGAGGCCACCTGGGAGTTAAACGAACTCTCCTGAAGATCCGAGAACGGTTTTACTGGGTCCACTGTCGTGACGATGTCGAGGACTGGTGCCGCAAATGTACAAGTTGTGCGGCTGTAAAGGGACCTCAAATTCGTAGTAGAGGCGCATTGAAATTGTACAATGTTGGTGCACCATGGGAGAGGATAGCCATTGACGTTGCGGGGCCGTTTCCAGAAACTGAAAGTGGTAACAAGTATTTCATGGTAGTGATGGATTACTTCACTAAGTGGCCAGAAGTCTTCGCCATTCCAAATCAAGAAGCTTCAACAGTTGCAGATAAACTAGTTCATGAAGTCTTCTGTCGTTTTGGAGTACCTTTAGAGATTCACAGCGATCAAGGAAGGAATTTTGAGTCTCAAATATTCCAGGAAACTTGCCGAGTTATGGGTACTCAGAAAACACGAACAACTTCTTACCACCCACAATCTGATGGTAGAAAGATTTAATCAGACATTGGAGAGGTACCTAGCAAAAGTTGTGGAAAAACGGCAACGAGACTGGGACAGGCACATACAACCGTTTTTGTTGTCATATCGAAGCGCTGTTCACGAAAGTACATCAGTGACACCAGCTTTCGCAAACTTCGGGAGAGAATTGCGGCTGCCTGCAGACCTGATCACCGGAATACCACCTGATGCCCCACGCAGTATAACCGATTATGCAAATGACTTGCGGAACAAAATGAATGACATTTATGAGCACGTCAGACAGACGGGCCAGCAAACGTCTGAAAAGATGAAAACACGTTATGACCGCAAAATGAACAACAAGGGCTTTGATGAAGGTTCACTAGTGTGGTTACACAATCCAGTTCGCAGCAAAGGGAAATCTCCTAAGCTTCAAGCTAAATGGGACGGACCGTACCGGATTGTGACAAGGATCAATGATGTAACCTACCGGATACAGAAAGGTGCCAGAGGTACTCCTAAGATTGTCCATGTGGATCGACTGGCGCGTTATTATGGGGCCAATAATGCTCGGGACGAGCATGTCTTAGGAGGGGGCAGTGTTACGCGCCACTATTAATGTCTTGTACATGGCAACACTAGTTACACTAGCGCCCCCTAGTGTCGAGTAAATGAAAGTATTGCGCGCCACTATTAATGTCTTGTACATGGCAACACTAGTCACACTAGCGCCCTCTAGTGTCGAGTAGCAGAACTAGGAGAGTCGAGATCCTTCCAGAAATTTCGGGACCGATATGTACTCGAACATTCTAGATGTCGCTACAGTAGAAGGTTCTGGAAACTATCTGAGGCCCTATATAAGACCGGTATAGACCACGACCGGGGCAGTATTGAATTGGCGATACAAGAGAATACTTCGAAGCGAAATAACGGCGAACTGTGTTTTATTATTAGTGCGATGCCCACGGGCAAGTCGTATTGCTACAACAAACCCGCTTACCACCGACACTAAGATAATATGTTTAGGACACATCGGTTAGCGAGTCCAAGTTTACCTTGGTCTCGGTTGCTGTGAAACAATCTACACGCCACTATAATAATCCTTAAGTCCCATTTCTTTCATATAATGCTTTTACATATTTGAGACCTTCCACATATTTGCTTTATTTCATTGATGTCTTATACATATGGGACTTCAAGTCATAACTCTGCTATCATAATGCTTATGCATCATAGAAACCTTCTATAAATGCTTTGGTTCGATAGACCTTACTATCATAAGTCCCTAATATAGGACTAGTCATTGTGCAACCTTACTACTAGCAGTCGGTCAGCCGACCACCCCAAATATATGTACAACCTTGGGTATGTGTCTCCGGCAACGCCCCCTTATAAGAGAACATTACAAGAACACCTTCATCAAGTTAGAAAATTTTGATCCATTTTCTCTATTATATTACAAATGTTATTTATCTTTATTATTGCAATATAATCGACTTGTATTTATATGATTTAATACATTTTGAATTATTTATACAGAATTTTAATAAATTTAGAGATTTTTAAAGACAATTTATGCGTTTACTAATACTATAATATTCATTATTCCAAATGAATATATTTGAACTTTATGCTTATTATTACATTTTAATTGTTTAAAATATAATTTCTATGACATTTTAAATGCCCTTATATTGAATTTAATTATTATTTGTTAATAATAATTATGAGGCGTCACAATAGTAACCGGTTTTTATAGCTATTTTATTGACATGACTAATTATATTATATCTAATAACGATAACACGGAAAACATTACGCCTAATAATACAATATCATTATCAAATTCAATATTTCTTAAATCCATGTCAAAATATGAGGTGAATAAAGAGATCATGTCCTTAAATAACACTGCCTCGGAAGGTTACGATGGAATTAGTACCAAAATAATTAAAGCAAAAAAATAAAATAACCTCTTTCTTCTAAATAAACTAGAATCATTTGGAATTAGAGGGATAGCACTGAAGTGGATTTCGTGCTATTTATCAAATCGGCGACAATGTGTTACTATTGATAAAATGGTAGGAAATTAAATACTATCCTTCTCGTCTCAGTACAGGGTAAAGAATTACGGTGTTCCTCGAGGCAACGTTTTAGGGCCAGTCTTATTTTTGTTATATATAAATGACGTAACTCTAGCGACAAATCTTTTAATTAATGATAATATCTTTTATTAATTTTCTTTAATGTTACAGGTATTTAGATTATAATTTTTTAACAAATATGGATAATTGGTCTGAAATAAATGAATTATTTTTATTATTATAACCCACAGACTAATATGATACTAACGTATGAGACAGGGCACTCCCATAGAACAAAAGTGGACTCGTCTAAGCTCACATATCATGTATGACAAGCTGTCATTGACAGCTTTTTTTTTTATAGGAGAGGGGGCAGACGAGCATGCGGCTCACCTGATGGTAAGTTACTACCACCGCCCATGAACAGCTGCAACACCAGGGAGGGAATCGCAGATGCGTTGCCGGCCTTTTAAAAAGGAGTACGCTCTTTTCTTGAAGGTCCCTAAGTCGTATCGGTCCGGAAAAATCGCTGATGGTAATCGATTCCACGAGGAAGTCGTGCGAGGAAGAAAATATCTTCTAAATCGCACAGTGGTGGACCGCCAATCATCCAGATGGTGTGGATGGTATCGGGAGTTCTGCCGCGATGTGCGTTCGTGAAATTTGGCGGCTGGGATTAATCCGAACAATTCCTCAGAGCACTCCCCATGGTAAATGCGAAAGAAAATGCTAAGAGATGCAGCATCTCTTCGCAGTGCCAATGAGTCGAGCCGATTGGAAAGAACTCGGTCGTCGACGATTTGAGCCGCTCTGCGTTGGATGCGGTCAAGTGGAAGGAGCTGGCACTGGGGAGCCCCTGCCCAGAGATGGGAACAGTATTCCATATGAGGCCGAACCTGCGCCTTGTAAAGTTGCAGGCGGTGTGCCGGCATTAAATACTGTCCCGCTCTGCTGAGCACGCCAAGCTTTTTAGAGGCCAATTTAGCCTTCTCTTCCAAGTGACCACGAAACTGCACGTCACTCGATACGTCGACTCCGAGGATTCCGATACTGGCTGAGACAAGAAGGAGAGTGCCTTGAAACTGAGGAGATACGACAAAGGGTTTCTTTTTAGCGGTAAACGCGCAAACTTGTGTCTTCTGAGGATTAACGTGGACTAGATTTAGTCGCCCCCAATCCGAGACTTTGTTCAGCAAAGACTCTACTTCAGACACAAGTTTGTTCCGGTACTCGGCGACATTTTCCCGAGAAATATTGGCACGGCCAGTGTATAGAGCATCACCAGGGCTGTCATCCGCATAGCAATGAATGTTACCAGTTAGCAACATATCATTGATATGCAGAAGAAACAGCGTTGGTGATAGCACACAGCCTTGTGGAAAACCAGCGTTAATAGGCTTGTAGTCAGAGCATGCACCGTCTACAACGACCTTGCTGCTCCGATCTGCAAAGAATCTGGTGATCCAATCGCACAATTTCTCGGGAAGCCCATAGGAAGGGAGCTTCGAAAGAAGCGCTTTGTGCCAAACCCGATCGAAGGCCTTCGCAATGTCCAAACTAACGGCCAACGCCTCCCGCTTGGACTCTACTGCCTCTGCCCATCTATGGGCCAGGTAGACCAGATCACCAGCTGATCGACCCCGACGAAAACCGTATTGGCGGTCACTAATCAGCTGGTGATCCTCAAGGTACCGCATGAGCTGGCAGTTAATAATTGATTCCATTATTTTGGAGAACAAGGAGGTTATCGCGATAGGTCTATAGTTGGACGGGTCTGAGCGGTCGTTTTTTTTAGAGATCGGGTGGACAAAAGCTGTCTTCCATGAATTCGGGACTACGCCTTGGGAGTAGGAGTACCGGAAAAGACGCGTTAGGACCTTAAATTTGCTATAGTCACGATCAAAGCGTGGTACGATACAGCCTACTTTTATAGGACCTAGATAAAAATACTCCTTTTTATCTATTATTCTAATTAAATAATACGAATTCATAAATGATTAGATGGATTCGATTCGAGCTTGTTAGAAGGGGAATGTATAAGAAAAAAACACAGTGTTATTTAAACATTTTTTTTATTTCTTAATTTTGTTTTAAATTTATTAAGACCGATTAATTGAATTTGAGATAAAGCTTTATTTTCTAATCTTAGGTCATGTGTACCTTTCAATATTTTATTTATGACATTGCACCAATTAAACACTGTCAATCTTAAAGTTAACGTTAAAAAGTGTTCAGAAACAGCATCTTTATGCAGTTCGCAGTTTATAAAGTCAAACAAATACTTAGATTTGATGACAGTTTTTATATTTTTTATAATATAACTCTGTTGAGGTTTGGTTTCTAAGTATTTTGTTTGCTTCTTGTGTTATTATCCCAAAAAATCTCACGGCATGTTCCGAAGGGTAGATCAGTTTCTTTTCTTTAATACTTTTAAATTCTTTAAGGTAAATCCAATTATTGATAGAATTTTTATGATAATTAGATTCCTTATTTGTTAAATCAGCTTCACATTTCCGACAATTTTTTTTTTTAGTATATTTCTTATGATCCACCCAGCGGTATATGCACGTGAGTGAACATTAATTGTTTCCTGCTTTGCTGAACTTTCACTTTCTACCCAACTCGATAGCTCAGAGGACTCAAATGAATGGATTTGCTTAGTATTATCACATTTTTCTTTTGTACAAAACAATGATTTTAATTTTAATAATTATTCACCAGAATCCTCTTAACAATTATAACTATCTGAGTGGAACTTTATAAACCTTGTAATTAACAGTGATCTAAAGGTACTTTTGAATGTTTGGCAATTCGGATTCGTATTTCTAAAATTGTACGCACGCATTTGTCCAATAAAGTTTTCAATAGGATCAGAATTTAAATACCGCGGGCGCAAAACTTTAATATTTTTTTCACTTAGATATTGCCATAATCTCTGGTAACTTTTGAGAGTTG